TGGAGTATTTCTAGAAAACTGTCCATTTCCTCCAGATTTTCAAATTTGTTGGAGTACAGTTCTTCATAGTATCCTGATACTATCCTTTTTATTTCAGTTGGTTCTGTTGTGATGTCACCCATTTCATTTCTTATTTGTGTTATTTGTATTCTCTCCCTCTTTTCCCTTTGTTAAATTTGCCAGTGGTTTGTCAATTTTATTGATCTTTTCAAAAAACCAAGTTCTGGTCTTACTGATTTTTTCTATAGCCCTTCTATTTTCTGTTTCATTGATTTCTGCTCAGATCTTGATTATTTCCTTTCTTCAGGTGACTGTAGGCTTTTCTTGCTGTTCTTTCTCTAATTGTTGGAGATACTGGTTTAAAGTGTTGATTTTGCCTCTTTTTTCCTTTTTGATGTGTGCATTTATTTCTGTAAATTGGCCTCTGATCATTGCTTTTGCTGTGTCCCAAAGATTTTTGTATGTTGTGTTTTCATTCTTGTTTGACTCAAGGAATTTTCAAATTTCAATTTTGATTTCTTCTCTTACCCAGTCTTTGTCAAGGTGGGTGTTGTTCAGTTTCCATGTGTTTATTACTCTTTTCCTGTTGATCTTCCTATTGTTGATTTCTAATTTAATAGCATTATGCTCTGAGAAGATGCTTAGCAGTATTACGATGTTTTTAAATTTATTAAGCCTTGCTTTATGGCTTAATATATGGTCTATCATAGTCATTAAACTTTTTAAAGAGTACTGTTTTCATTTCTTCATCATCAATTTTTATCTATCTCAAGTTTAGTTTCTTTCTTCCCTACTCTGGTGAAACTGATTTTCTTAAAAACAGCAACTTTTCTTGTTAATGAAATCCAATATTTACTTTGTAATCTTTGTGTTATTTGACTGTTTTTAGCAGCATTAGGTATAAATGACCATCCCTTTCTTCTTGAAACATTATCTTGTTTTTTCTTGTGCCCAACTCCTCTGACTTTGCTTCTGTCTTTTTGATAGACCTTTTTGATGACTAATTATCCAGTACCTTGCTAACTGTAGGAGCAGCTCAGTCTAGTCCTTCAGTAGTCTTATGGCAAGAATAGCACTGCCAGCTTCCTAGAATTTTGGTATCATCTACTGTAGTTTCCTGATGTTTCATTAAAGCAACTTTGCTATTGCAGGTTGAGTTAGTCTTTCTTCTGATACCTATTTACATTATAGACCAACATCCTCACTCTGAAGCAAGAAGTTTCTGGTACAAAACACTTGAGCAGTTTGCTTCAGGCCCATATAGTCGTTTGAATGGGCTGTATTACCTGACAATAACGAAAAAGCAATTTTAAAGGACTTGAATGGATGTTAAATAGCTCAAACCTAATAACTCAAACCCTAAAACAAATGGTATGCCATAAAATTTAAATAGTTATCAGACTTTTCCTACTACCCAGAACATGAATCTCTATACTATCAGCATATTGAGAGGGAGGGAGACAACATAGACTCAATTTTGTATATATATATTTTCTATACATATACTACCATCCCTGTGTATTGTACACACAAAATAAATTTTGAATGAAATGAAAATTAAAAAAATAGTATTTAAAATTAATTATAAGATTACAATTCTTCTAATCTTTTGGGAACAAGAAGCAGATGGCATTCCTCTGGAAGCCTCATTCTTTGATTTTCTCATGTATCCTGTTAGACAAAAATAGGTTTTATCATATATCAAGAGATTCATCTGAAATTTTTCTTAAACTAATCTCTTAAGAAGTGATATTTCAAAGTTGAAATGTGATGGTTCTTAACTACTTAAATTCGTTTTATGATCTATGTGTTTTAAAAATGGAATTTCCAGTTTTGCATACTAGGCAATTTAGATAGTTTAGCCACAATTTTATGTAAAGGCTTTGGCTTTTCTTTTTTTTCCTGTTTATCCTTAACTAAGTCACTTCTGTCCTTTCTTGAAAAGGCTTTCAGGAGGAGATGAAATAATTCTAGGGGAAACAGAGTCTAGTTTGTAGTAAACAAAGTCTACTTGGGAACTGTTTAATTTCAGCAAGTAATTTAACTTCTTTGTGCCTCTGTTTAGGAGCTTTAGTGGTATAGTGGTTAAAGCATTTGGCAGCTATCCAAAAGGTTGGCAGTTTGAACCTACCAGCCATTCCACAGGAGAAGGATGAGGCAGTCTGCTTCCATACAGATTTACAATCTTGGGAACCTTATTAGGGCAGTTCTCTATCCTCTATGGTTGCTTTGAGTTGGGATATAATCAGTGGCAGTGGGAGTGAGTTGGTTGCCTCTGTTTCCTTTTCATTAAAATGAGAATAACCTAGTACCTGCATCACAAGTTTGATATAAGAGTAAATAAGCACATAATGAACGCTTCATAAGTGTTAAATAATTAAATAAATGCATCTAGTTGAATACAAAAATAGGATTTAGGGATGGTTTTTAATTTAATTTTTTGTTATAAACAATCTTGTAACGTATTTATTTTCATAAAATAGTTTTAATTTTTGAGGTTAATGTGATTACTACAATGAGAATATTGAAAAACTTATGCCTACATTGTTGTTGTTAGCTGTCGGTCAACCCCCAACTCATGCAACCCCATGTATTACAGAGTAAAACTGCTCCATAGGGTTTTCTTGACTGTAATCTTTATGCTAGTAGTTCATCAAATGTTTCTTCTGCAGAGCCACTAAGTGGGTTTGAACCACTGACCTTTAGGTTAAGAGTTGATCATAAACTGCTTGTGTCATCCAGGTTCCTTAATTCCTATGTGCAGCTCATGTATTCTTTTCAAAAAGAGAAGATGCTAACAGTGCATTGAAAACACGGAAATAACAATTACATTCAGAAATCAGTTAAAAATAGTTTTTTTTTTTTTACTTTATCCTTGTCTAACATTTTTTTGACCTTCATTTTTGTATTTCAGTGGTCTGTGTTTTGGGAATTTTTAGGGTTTTTTTTTTTCTGTTCTGAAGGAATCTTTTGAAAGTCCTACCCACATTACTTATGTTTTCAAGGATTTTGTTGTTGATTTTTGAGAAAAATAGCAAATGTATATTAAATATAAAATTGCTGCTGTATTTCATATTGTATAAAATACAAAAATGTTCCTCATAAAGAGAATCAGATTTCTAGTGATTCAAGATTGTTTTTGGCACTTGACTGCTAACCAGAAGGCTGGCGGTTCAAACCCACCAGCCACTTCTCAGAAGGAAGCTTGGGCAATCTACTTCCGTAGTGATACTGCCTTGGAATCCTAAGAAGGGGTCTTTATGAGTTGGGTCTGACTTGACGACACATAGCAACAACAACATGGAGTATTTATATGGAATACTTATGTCTTATTTTTCTTTAACTGCAGGTTATCTTGTCTATGAATTTGACAAGTTTTGGTTTGAAGAAGAGCCAGAAAGCATAATGTATTTCAACGTGTATAGAGAGAAGTTTCATGAAAAGATTAAAAGACTTTTACTAGACTCTAATGTAGCACTTACTTTAAAAATATAAATCATCTACAGTATTTCTATTTCTACCACGTTTTGCACTCCCAGTAGAATTTATATGTTGTAATAAAAATTATCTGACCAGTTACACTCCTTATATATAATTTCTTAACAAATGTTTCAGAAATTCTATTTACAAAAGCTAGTGGACAATCAGTGTATGTTTACAGTTGCTTATACACTGTCCTCCAAAGGTACCTTCCCCTTCCAAAGATCCCCTCTGTAGACTCATGTGAACTACAGTTTGGAATTTGGGACTTAGCGCATTTCATGGAAAGTATAAATCAGGTATTTGTATTTTAATCAACTGATTAAAATGTGGACAACTTTGTTTTCATTTTTATGTTTCGTAGCTAGCAAGTTGGCATTTTTTGAAGGCCCTTTAAGGTTAGTGGGGTTATTTTTGTTTTTTTAGTTGGGAAATGGAGTATTTTCTGCATCTTATTTTAATTTCTAAGTCAATTAACAGCAAAAGTAGTTCTTTATGATTGTCTTTGCATCTCAGTCACATGTCTCATGTTGCTTCATTAGTAGCAGTAAAAGCATAGATACATCAGAGAGGATTAAGAACAATGCCCTCCTTTTTGGTTCTCCTTGATTATTGGGCATAAAAAATAATGAAAAAAAATGACAATATTGGCAACTATTTTTTTGGAAAAAGGACCATACTGTAAAGTATTACAGTGTTATTTTGAAGCTTAAAGGCATTGTCTCATCTTTAGTATTTGATGTTTTTCAATGGTAGAATAAACCTTAGTTAATGCGTGGTCTGAGGACCTTCTATGAAGCTCTTCACCTATCTGTATTTTTGAAATGAGATATATTTGCTAAGAAAATCTTGACTGTACTTGGAAGACAGTTTCTATTTCAGTAAAGCTGTTCTTGAAACTTAAATAAGAGGAAAACTTAAAGCTTTTTTAAAATCTCAGTTAAGCATCATTGGTTTATTTGACTGACTGTTAACTCTTGATTTTCTTTACTTTGACTCCATGGTCTTTCTAGATAATGTTGTATGGACTTCAAGGATATTCTTTGAGTTAACAGTCTGTAGGATTCTAAAGTAGCCTGAGGAGATAATGACTGTGCATTTTGTATAGCTTTATTCTCCTGAAATCTCAGGAGGACAGCAAATGCTGTCAAGGATTGTATATAGTGATGAGAATCTAATGAGGAAGTGTGTTTTAGACATTTGTACTCAGCAAAGAAGCTGAGAGTCTGAAGTTAGAGAAGTTCATCTGATTAGTAAATTTTCCTTCAACCCTTCAGAAACCAACCCATTAAAAACAAAATGTAATCTAAAACATCATGATATTTGCCACACCTTTTAACATTGTATATATGAAGTGTTTAAGGACTGGCTGTTACATGACACTTGAGACTTTCATGTTCATTGACAAACCTCTCTCTTAACACTTGCTACAGGGAAGAGTGACAGGCCTCTCTCTTAATGCTTGCTAAGAGAAGAGAAGCGTGGTAAGAAATACCCAATTGGAAAATACCAGGGCAACACTGGAGAGCACATATATTAAAAGTATATGCATTAAGACAATTATTTTTTAAACAAGATAAAACTTTTTAAAATTGCATTCATTTTGTTATTACAATGGTAGTGGTTTCTTGAAGGAGCTTTTCAACCTTGACAGTATCTTAATAGTTTTTTTAGTAATGTTTTCATGTGTTATTGTCCAGCTAGAGTTCTATGATGTGTAACAAAATCTGACAAGGATCAGGTGTTAACCATTAAAGTTCATTATATCGGGGTGCTAACCATTACATGGAAAGCAATTTTTGTTAGTCTTTTCATTTTTGTGTTGAAAATAATTATATTTTAATCTTTCAACAGCTTAGATCTTGAACTGATTTAACCCTTTGTCAGTGTACCTAACAAAAGTGATTGGAGTATGGAAGGGGAAACTTTTAAGTATTTAAATTTTTCCCCTTTTAGGGAGAAAAAGAAAACCTTAATGTCTTTTAATGTCAAGAAACCATCATTATAAAGTTTGCTTAATAATATGTTCTTTAACTCCACCTCCATTTGTAATTATAGATAAGGCTCTGTTTTCACTTAAAATAATTAAGCAAGCATTTCAGATAGTTCTGTAGTGAATTGGTCTAAAAGCTGCCAATAAATTCTCAAATTTGATAATCTGGAAGCCAAGCTAAATGTCACCAGTTGTGAATTAGAATGTGAAATGAGCCTTCTGCTTTGTATGTGACAATGACTTAACTGAAAAGAAAAATACAGTAACTGTGTTTGTCTTCCTACTTTCCTTTGCTTTCAACATATGTATGTTAGAATTTTATGTAGTCTTAAAATTTATACTTAGAATCTTATCTTTTTCTGTAATAATAAATAAAATACCAAAGTAGTGTTAGAATATTATGACATTGTAGTAGCAGGAAATTTATGTGTTTATTTTACCATCAAAAAGTGATTCAATGTTGAAATGAATTTTTTTTATATGGTAGGTCAGAGAGAGTTTGCTGATGATAAGCATAGTCTAAATATGTCATTATAAAGGTTTTATAGTTCAGATATGTTCTGAAGGACAATCTTTAAAGAAATGGGGGAAATTGGGGGTGTCAATTGAACCTAAACCAACCTCTTTTTGCATATAAAAATGGTGTTACAACTTCATCAGTGTCTTACTCACACCATTTACATTGGAAAACAGAATCTTTTTCTTCACAATGCCCGTCCTGATTTTTCTCTATTTTAAGAGCTACTTGGATTTGTATGTATTTTTCTATGTGGAAATATACATATTCTTTGTATTTATTCCATTGTTCATAACTGTTCATGTTCTTCTTCTTCCCTTTGAGAGCAGACAGTGAAATAAATAGGACTTGGTGAAAGATTTTCTTAATGGACAGGCGTTACATGAGTGTGAAAAGTGGACTCTTTTGTCAGAGCAAAACTGTTACCGTGGCATAGAAGAGAGGAAGTTTGGCTTGGAGGGCAATGATGTTTATGATCTTTCTTGAAATTATTGTTGGGGGCCAGCAGCTATTTTCTCAGGATAAATGCTCCACCCATGTCTCTATAAACAAGTCTGGGGATGCTTAGTTTCCATTTTTATATTTACAAATCTCTCCACACAGTTTTTAAATGGCAAATAATGGAATGCTAAAATCTAAGACAAATCATGGCTTGAACTTTTTGTTTCCTGGCTTCATCTTTTGATGATTAAAATTAAAAAGGTACAGGTAAGACACAACTACTACATTATCATAGGCCAACTCTGCATTTCTGTTAAACAAAGTATTCAGAAGCTTTATGCAGTAGCTTTCCCTGGGGGAAAAAATGCCTATTGGCAGCTTAAACTGATTTCTGTCTACTTTGACTAAGACAGTTGACTTCTTATGTAAAAGCAATAGTGTAAAATGTGATGTCCTTTTGTTTGGAAACTTAAATGAGCAAATAAAATATATGTTGAAATTGTTGTTGCCTTTCTGTGTCTTCCCATCCTCTCTATCCTTTACTCAAGTCATTTATGTTCATGAAACACACTGATTTTCTTGTTTAATCTCTAATCGTGTTGCTATAGAGTAAATCAAAATATAAAGAAAAAAATGTCCATTTTTTGTGACTTTTATGTACATATTTAAGATGTTACTGAATGAGAAAAGTTGTTCCTGAGACAGAAACTTGCTTCATTTTAAAAGAAGCCACCAGAAATATTATCTACACCGCCCTTGCTTTTACAAAAACAAAAATAAAAATAATAATAATAAAAAACAAACTCATTGCTATTGAGTCAATTCCAACTCATTAGCAACCCTTTCTTGGGTTTCTGAGGTGGTATCTCTACGGAAGTAGATTGCCCAGTCTTCCTTCTGAGGAGTGGCTGGTGGGTTTGAATTGCCAGCCTTCTGGTTAACAGTCAAATGCCTTAGGCACTATGCCACTAGAGTTCCTGATAGGAATAATTAATACTGAGCTGCATTTTTTTTCCTCTTAACATCAACAATGTATCTTGAAGCTATTTTCATGTAATATATAGCTTCTTATTCTGTATTTCTACAGTTTTGAAGTGTTTCAATATGTATGTGTCTGTTTAAGCATGTATATATATCCAACACTTTTCTACATTTAGTTAATTTATAATGTTTTGCTTTTATAAGCAATGCTAGAAAGAAAAACCTGTGGGGTATGCACAAGTTTGGGTTTACTGGGTAATACCAAACTGCTTTACAATGTAGTTTACCAATATACACTACCATAAAACTCAAAAAACTCACTGCCGTTGAGTCAGATCCAACTCATAGCGACCCTCCTTTGGTTTCTGAGGTGGTACCACTACAGAAGTAGATTGCCCAATCTTCCTTCCAAGGAGTGGCTGATGGGTTTGAACTGCCAACCTTCTGGTTAGCAGTCAAATGCCTAGGCACTATGCCATCAGAGCTCCCAGAAATTGTCATAGGTTCCATAAAATATGGATTCTGAAAATTAAAAATTCCAAACCTTTCAAATGAAGTTTATATCTATTAATTGTAAAGACTTTCACTTGCACTTTGGCAATTTTGTGTTCTAGGTGAACTTCCACTCATATCTGGGAATGGATCCAAAATGACAAACTTTTAAATGGTATTAGCGGTATTTTATTGAATATATTAACTGACAACTGTGGTTAATAAATAAAAAGAAAGTAATACTTCTTTGATAACTTTTCTTTGTTAGGTATTTATAAATATAAAATGCATTTCACTGAGTTTTCCTTTTCTGCTAGCTTGAGTCATAGTTAGTTCTTCAGTCATGAAGTTAAACAAAAAGTCGGTCAAATGCTGTAACTTATCTGGACATTATATTTGTCAGGTTGAACGCTGAATGTTTTATTTTCACCTTCTTAAGATGTGGAGTATAAAAGTTACACAAATAGATATAATTTTGCTTTTTTAAAAAAAAAAAAAATTACCAAACTCTTTAATTCTACTAGAATTCTTTTTATCTTTTTGGGGGAAATGAAAAGAACTTGTTATTACTATTAACCAGGCAGCAAAGATTCCCACTAGTATTGTTACATTTATTTCCTGAGGCTAATTATGTGGCACAGTCCATAGTCTGCCTTGACTTCATCAATTCTTGTTTCAGCTGTTCAAAGCACACAAACATAATGACATTCCAGGATCCCAGTCGCAAGAAGGAAGGTACAAACCTAGAAAAGTGCATGCCACCATTCAATTAGTTTGTTTGACATTCTCAAAGTTATTGTAGTAGTTGATGCTTCTCATTTTGCCACTGTTCTCACATGAAAATGCTTAAAAGTATCTTCATTTTTCAGTCCACTGCCTAAAATACAGTGTTCTCTAGATGACCTGTACTCTTTGAAAACAACAAAACCCTGATGATTATACCTATACAAGTCCAAAAACATCCTTTTCATACCCACCAGATGAAACCTGGCTCCTCCTCTCTGACTTGGTTCTTTTCCCTAACTCTTCAAGTTTTTTGGTTTGTTTTTCTGGGGGAGGGGGAAGTTTTGTTTTGTTTTGCTTTCTGAACAAGAGGTAGGAGGAAACCATTAGAAATTCAAAAGGAGAAATCAAAGAAATGATGAATAAATGAACCCAATTTGATAGTCAAGAAATTACCAGTTTACCAGTTGCCGTTGAGTTGATGCCAGCTCAGCGTCAAGAAATTAGTTCTGTCTATGTTATGGCAAGGAGTTCTGGTAGCGTAGTACCTAAGGCATGACTGCTAACAGAAGCCTGGCAGTTCAAACCCACCAGCCACTCCTTGGAAGGAAGACTGGGCAATCTACCGCCATAGAGAAACCACCTTGGAAACCCAAGGAGGGGTTGCTATGAGTCAGAATCAACTCAAAGGCAGTTCTTACCCTTAGATTGTCAAAGGTATATGTGTTATTTTGTTTGTTTTCTAGAATTCTGACAAACTGCAGACCATATTATTGATTGGGAATGTCTGTTTGCCAAAATGAAATACCCCAGGTAAAGATGTCATCAATTAAAATGTCATTGGATCATTGTTTATGATACCTAACCTACAAAAATCATCCCCCAAAGAAAATTATCATTACATGGTTAATTATTAATAATTAGTGTATCCATTTTAGGTTAATTTTATAATATACTTAATTTGTATTAGTGTATGGTAAGAGATCATGGTGAACTGAAATCTTTTGTGTAATATGTATGTGCTTTTATGTCTCTTTTTTAAAGTTTAAGGCATTGTTTTATAATTTTAAAGAATTATGAATTCTTTAAATTCTTTTACATATTCTTTAGTGTGATCTTTGTTCAGTATATCATAAATTCATGCTATTCTTTCTTAGGAAAGTAGTTTCTAATAATGTTTTTATGGGGAAAATATGATCTACTGCACAGAACTATTTTCTGCAAGAGTATAATTACCCAAACAGCATTTTCTGTATCATTTTTCTAGATCAGTGGAAATGATTTTTGCCTGCTTTAATATAATTTGAAATAGTATATTAAATAAAACAGTGAAAATCGAATACTGTTTTCTCATAATCCTCTATTATGCTTTCCCTCCTCTTTAGCTCTCTTGTCCAGAGAAGGCAGATTATAGTCCACATTTCAACTAGGTTGGGACAAGGCAAGAGATCATTGATTTTGAATGAGCCTCTGATCAAGGTTGAGAAAACTATCCAACCATACTTTATTATTTTCTGGCATGGTGGAATTGATGGGTTGGAGAAATCTGTGTCAAGGAAAAGTAGATACTAAGTATGCTGCATATACTAATGTTGGTAAGATAAATATTAGTTGGTTAGATAAAACAGTGTGCCAAGGTACACGGATACATTATAAAGATCATATCCTACCCTTTGAAAAAAGCTGGCAGTCCTTCTTTGGTGAACATAGCCACTGCACAGTTGGGTATACTTGTGTAGTGTCCTGGTGGAGAATTTATAAATCTGGTTTTCACCACATCCACTGGAGAGGCCAGAATCGTTGTGCAAAATCCAGCAATAAGAGCAGACAATAAGTGGCAGGGCACATCATCTAAAATGGATTAATGCAACAGGGCAGCATCAGGTGAGAGAGCTTATAAATTTTCAGTTATTTGTCAAACCCTTGAAATCCAGTTTATTCATAACAGGATGTCAACATAGACATAAATAAAGGTTATACTTGTACTTGCTACCACTCGTCTGTCCATTTGTCTTACTGTGGTAACGTGTGTTGCTGTGATGCTGGAAGCTATGCCACTGATACTTCAATTAACAGCAGGGTCATCCATGGGCACTTTTCAGCAGGGTTTCAGACTAAGGCAGATGAGGAAGAAGGGCATGGCCAGATCCACCTCTAAAAAATTGGCCACTGAAAACCTTATGAATAGCAATGAAACGTCATCTGTATATTGCCAGAAAATGAGGCCCTCAGGTTGAAAAGCACTCAAAATACAACTGGGGAGAAGCTGCCTCCTCAAAGTAGAGTCAACTTTAATGATATAGATGGAGTAAAGCTTTCTGGACCTTCATTTGCTGATATGGCACAACACAAAAAGAAACAGCTGTAAACAGTGATTAATAATTGGAAATGGAACACATGAAGATCGATATCCTAGGCATTAATGAGCTGAAATGGACTGGTATAGGCCGTTTTATTTCTGACAATCATCTATATCTCCTATGCTGGAAATGACAAATTGAAGAGGAATGGTATCACATTCATCATCAAAAAGAATGTTTCAAGATCTATCTTGAAGTACAATGCTGTCAGTGATAGGATAACACCCATATGCCTATAAGGGAGACTGAGAGTGTAGAACGAAGGATATCCTTGCTGATAACCAGATGGATCTTGGCTGAAAGCAAAAAATACCAGAAAGATGTCTACTTGTGTTCTATTGACTATGCAAAACCATTCAACTCTATGGATCATAACACATTATGGATAACGCTGAGAAGAGTGGGAATTCCAGAACACTTCATTGTGCTCTTGAGGAACCTGTACATAGACCAGGAGGCTGTCGTTTAGTTAGAACAAGGGGATGTGGTATAGTTTAAAATCAGGAAGGGAGTGTGTCAGGGTTGTATCCTTTCATCATACTTATTCAATCTGCACACTGAGCAAATAATCCAAGAAGCTAAACAATATGAAGAAGAATGCAGCATCAGGATTGGAGGAAGAGTCATTTGTTAATGATAAGTAGATGATACAACCTTACTTGCTGATAGCGAAGATGACTTGAAGCACTTACTGATGAAGATTAAAGACTACAGTCTGCAGATTACACCTCAACATAAAAGAAAAATCCTCACAAGTGGACCAATAAGCAGCATCATGATAAATGGAGAAAGGATAGAAGTTGTGAAAGATTTCATATTACTTGGATCCACAATGAACACCCATGGAAACAGCACTCAAGAAATCAGAAGTTATATTGCACTAGACAAATCTGCTGCAAAAGACCTCTTTAAAGTGTTGAAAGGCAAAGATGTCACTTTGAAGACTAAGGTGCACCTAACCCAAGCCATGGCATATTCATTTGCCTTATGTGAAATCTGGACAATGAATAAGGAAGACAGAAGAAGAGTTGATGTTTTTGAGATGTGGTGTTGGCAAAGAAGACTGAAGTACCATGGGCTGCCAGAAGAACGAACAAATCTGTCCTGGAAGAAGTGCAGCTGGAATGCTTTTTGGAAGCAAGAATGGCCAGACTTCATCTCACCTATTTTGCTCATGAGGAGCTCTGGTAGCATAGTGCCTAAGGCACTTGACTGCTAACTAGAAGGCTTCCAGCTCAAACCCCCCAGCCACTCCTCGGAAGGAAGGTTGGGCTATCTACTTCCGTAGTGATACCTCCTCGGAAACCCAAGGAGGGGTCGCTATGATTTTGGACATGTTCTCAGAAGGGACCATTCCCTGGAGAAGTTACTTGGTAACATAAAGGGTCAGCTAAAAGGGGGAAGACCCTCAGTGAAATGGGTTGACACAGTGGCTGCAATGATGGGCTCAAGTATAGCCGGGATTGTGAAGATGGCACATGACCAGGCAGTGTTTTGTTCTGTTGTACGCAGGGTGGCTATAACTCAGAGCTGACTCAATGGCACCTAACAACAACAGCAACAAGGAAGACCAGTTAATACTACTATTGTGCAAATTTATACACCGATCACTAAGCCAAAGATTTGTGAACTTGAAATTGAAGATTTTTACCAACTTCTGCAATCTGAAATTGACCAAACACACAATAACATTTATTGATATTTATTGGTGATTGGAATACAAAAGTTGGAAACAGAAGAAGCATTGATAGGAACTATTTCTCTGGTGATAGAAATGATGCCAGAGGTCACGTGATAGTTTTGCAAGACAAATGACTTATTCATTATAAATAAGTTTTTCAGCAGCATAAATGGCAGCTGTATACATGGACAAAGAGCTCTTGTGGTATTGCTAACCAGAAAGTTGGTGGTTCTAACCTATCAGTTGCTCCATGAAAAAAAGATGAGGTAATCTATTTACGTAAAGATTTACAGCCTTTGACATTCAATTGAAGTTGCTATGAGTTAGAATTAATGACAGTGGGTTTGGTTTGTTTTTTGTATTTGGTTTATACATGGGCATCACCAAATAGAATATACAGGAATCAAATCAACTACATCTATGCTAAGAGATGATGGAGAAGGTCAATATTACCAGTCCAAAAAAGGCCAGAGAACGACTGAAACAGACCATTAATTGCTCATGTGCAAGTTTAAGTTGAAACTGAAGAAAAGAAGGTCTGTGAGAGCCAAAATATGACCTTCAAATATCACTCCTGGACTGAAAGACCATCTGAAGAATAGATTTGATGCATTGAATACCAATAACTGAAGACTAGATGAGTTGTGGGATCATACATGAAGAAAGCACAAAAGTCATTAAAAAGGCAGTAAAGGAAGAAAAAACAAAAACGAGTGTTAGAAGAGCCTCTGAAATTGCTCTTGAATCGAGAGTAGCTAAAGTGAATGGAAGAAAATGATGAAGTAAAAGAGCTGAATACTTCAAAAGGGTGGCTTGAGAAGATGTAGTAAAATACAATGAAAATGCAAAGGCCTGGAGTTAAGAAACCAAAAAGGAAGAACACATTTGGCATTTCTCAAGATGAAAGAACTGAAGAAAAAAAAAATTCAAGCCTTGAGTTGTAATAATTGAGGATTCTGTGGGTAAAATATTGAATGATGCAGGAAGCATCAAAGGAAAATGGAAGGAATACAAAGGGTTACTGTACCAAAAAGAATTGGTCGATGTTGAGCCATTCCAGGTGGTAGCTTATGATAAAAAACCAATGGTATTGAAGGAGTTGAAGTGGCACTGAAGAAGTTGGAGAAAAACAAAGCTCCAGGAATTGACAGAATGCCCATTGAGATGTTTCAAAAAAACAGGTGCAATGCATAAAGAAAACAAAAATTCTGACCATTGGTCCAATAAGCAACATCATGAGAAATAGAGAAAAAATTGAAGTTGTAAGGATTTCATTTTACTTGAATCCACAATCAATGCAGCAGTCAATAAATTAAAAAAAAAAAGTATTGGGAAGATCTTCTGCAAAAGACTTCTTTAAGATGTTAAAGAGTGAAGATGTCATTTTGAAGACTAAGGTGTGCCTGACCCAAGCCATTGTCTTCAGTACCCTCATATTGCATGTAAAAGCTGGACAATGTATAAGGAAGACTGAAGAACTGATGCTTTCAAATTAATGGTGTTGATAAAGAAAATTTAATATATCATGAACTGCCAGAAGAATGAACTTATCTGTCTTGGGAGCTCTGGTGGTGTAGTGCCTAAGGCATTTGACTGCTAACCAGAAGGCTGGTGGTACAAACTCACCAGCCACTCCTCAGAAGGAAGGTTGGGCAATCTACTTCTGTAGAGACACTGCCTCAGAAATCCAAGGAGGGGTCACTATGAGTCGAATCGACTCGCAGCAGTGTGTGAGTCTTGGGTGAAGTGCAGTAGGAATGCCCCTTACAAGCCAGAGTGGCCAGACTTCATCTCTCATTCTTTGGTCCTATTATCAGGAGGACAAATCCCTGGAGAAGGATATTTTGCTGGGGAAGACCCTCAATGAGATGGATTGATACAGTGGCTGCAGAGACTCAAGCACTCAAGCATAGCAAAGTTTGTGAGGGTGGGGCAGGACTGGGCATTGTTTCTTTCTGTTTTTCAGTTACTATGAGTCGAAACCGACTCAGTGGCACCTCACAAGAACAACAAATCTTGCACTTGAAGAAGACGGCAAATAGGATATGGCTTAGTGGATTATATGCTCTTACAAAAATATAACCTGTCAGGTTTCTTTGTGCCACTGGGACCTAAAATATATAATAATTTATATTAGGGAGCTCTCGTAGCACAGTGCCTAAGGCATGTGATTAGTAACCAAACTGTTGGCAGTTCAAACCCACCAGTTGTTCCATGGAAGAAAGAGCAATCTACTTTCATAAAGATTTACCACCTTGGAAACCCAATGGGGGTTGCTGTGAGTCAGAATCAACTCGATGACAGTGAGGTTTTTTTTTTTTTCAATATTTCTTTAGGAACTCTGTTGGCATTGTGGTTAAAGCACTGGGCTTGCTAACCAACAGGTTGGTGGATTGAATCCATCAGCCCTTCTGTGGGACAAAGATGAGGCATTCTGCTTCTGTGAAGCTTTATAACCTTAGAAACCCTAGGAGGGCACTTCTACTCTGTTCTGTAGGGTCGCTGAGAGTTGGGACTGACTTGATGGGTTTGGTTTTTAACACTTCTTCCTGAACCAAAGTCATTGCTTAAGGAGAATTTCAATGTCTCTGGAACCTATTAAAATATTATTTTTAGAGACTTACCCAGTGATAAGGAGCTCTGGTAGCGTAGTGCCTAAGGCCCTTGACTGCTAACCAGACGGCTGGTGGTTCAAACCCACCAACCATTCCTCGGAAGGTTGGGCAATCTACTTCGTAGTGATACCGCCTTGGAAACCCAAGGAGGGGTCACTTTGAGTCGGGTCTGACTCGAGGGCAAATAACAACAACATACGATGGTATTACCTTTTGGATGAAACCATTGAGCTCCTTATATAAGCTCTATATGTAAGTTCTATACAGTGCTCAATAGACTCACCTACTAAATTCTGCTGAACAAAGAACAAGATTGTAATAGAAGTCCCAAATATTGATATAAAATGAGAATAATGCTGATGTAAAAGTGCTGTGGTAGTTTTGTTGTAGTAGGTTTGTGCTCTTTTTTCTGCTTTTCAGAATATATTTAGTGTTGAAAATTAATTTGTTTATAAAAGAGAAAACTACTAAAGTTGAAGGATTTAGTCTGTGGCTGGAGAAACTCCAAGATAGATTATAAATGTGCAGACCTGTTTGTTATATAAAATAGGAAGTTACCTGCTAGTAGGTTGTTTTTCACAAGGCTCTCCTTCATTAGGTCATATGTTACTAGCTCTGTACAATTGATGATGACATTTCTTGTCAGATTGGGAGTAGTCCCTGGAAAAAGGAAAACATTTAATAACTCCCTTATATGATAAAGTACTAACTGGAACTGTGCATTTTAATGATTATAAAATCTTTGAAGTTAGTTACCTTTCCAAAGACCTCTCAAACCTTCAGTTGTTGCTATAATTCTGTAAGCATTGTAAGTCCCAGTGTAGCGTGGTTTGAGACCATGCAGATGGCTCTGTGCTTGAAGTCTGACCTTCACAACTTCTGTGGGTTGCCCAATAAACACTGCTACTCCTCCAGTTGTTAAGCCAGCGGAGATCTTGCTTCCTAAACTAGCTGGTGCTATTAAAAAGGGGGAAAAATATTTATTATGCTAAGGAAAAAAAAATCAAGATCTAATTTTTAGTGGTTACTGTTTCAGTACCCCTACATTTCTTCTACTTCCCTAAGGTCTGTCCACATATTGATCATAGTAAAGGTAGAAAACTTCAAAACTGAAAGAAATAAAAAGATTTTCAAGGTAAAAATGCATAATACCCATTTAAGCAGTAGTTTGGTTCTTTGCTCTGTTTAGTTCTGTTTTTCAATATTTCCCAAATGGGATCTGGCTCCTGACACCAATAATTCTTATCAATGATAATGTCAAGTCTTGAACCTAGTGGTCTTAAGAAAAGCGTAAGTGGACAGACTACTCCCAAGAGGACAAAAATAAGAAAGAAGCTAAGAAAGTGATTTTTTTTAACTTGAAATTTGGGAAAATTGGCTTCTGTTACCCAAACATATATTTAATAAAATTACAAATAGTCTTGGAACTATTCACGATTAAAATTAATCATTTTAAAGGACTATATATAGCATTTTGTGAGCTCTGGTGGCATAGTGCATAAGGCATTTGACTGCTAATCAGAGGGCTGGCGTTTCAAACTCACCAGACACTTCGGAAGGAAGACTGGGCAATCTACTTCTGTAAAGATACAGTCTTGGAACCCCAAAGAGGGGTCACTAGGAGTCAAATCAACTCGACAGCAGTGAGTTTGTTATTTTGGTTTATATAGCATCTTATTGTTTGACTTCTATTATAATCCTTGCTGGGTAAATTCATAAATTAGTATATGATATCCTGTCCTAATATCCTGTACCTAATGCTGTGAGGTAGAAATTGTTCTCATTTCTGATGAGAAGCTGAGTATCAGAGGAGTTGGATGATGCACAAGATCACATAGTAAATAGTAGAGACTTTTTCATGTAGAGCAGACAAGCCAGGAAGAAGGAGATAGGAGGAGGGTAAAATGAATATCCTATGTGACTACCTTGGCAGATTTTATCATTTCTGCTTTTGAGTAACCTTTGGATAATCTAACTTTATGGAATAATTTATAAATATTTATACAAATATAAAAAAGCACTTTGGCACATAGGCAGTATATAAAATTACAGCAATTCATTTCATTAGTATTATGATTTTACTGTTTTCTCATCATGTTTGCAAGGAGCTGAATATAGAATAGATAGCCATCTTTTCAGTTGTCAAGATCATATGATGATAATTGCCTCCACTTTTGGCCCACATAATCTTATCTTGACATATTCATGCTTTCCTCCAGTCTCCAACCTTTTTGGCACCTTCCAATTCCCTCTTCTTTCCCAGTCAAGCTCTTTGGGAGCCTGGCTCTATACTTTGTCCTAACTTCACATGGCCCATTCCCTTAAGGATATTTTTGCTAAAGGAACCCATGAGCTTCTATTTGTTAGGTCCAATGATCACTTTGGCTTCTTTCACTCTGTATCTCTCTGTTCTGTTTGACCTTACTGATATTCCCTCCTGCAAATCCTTGGAATCTAGTCCAGACCTTTCTCTTAAACTCTGCCTGTGTCTGCCACCCCCAAGGTGATTTCTGTATTCCCTCACTCAATGAATGACATCTTTATTCAGAAACCTGGAAGTCATCATCTATTCCGACTTTTTCCTTACTCCTTACTATTAATGGTTCTTCACCACGTTCAGTCAATTATACTTCCCAAATCATTCAGATTGACCTCTCTTTTCATTGCCTATTGCTATTACTTTAGGTCATACCTGGATCACTTCTTACCTTCTAATCTATCCCTTGGAAGCTCTAGTAGCATAGTGCCTAAGGCATTTGACTACTAACGAGAAGGCTGGCGATTCAAAGCCACCAGCCACTCCTCAGAAGGAAGATTGGGCAATCTGCTTTTGTAGTGATACTGCCTCAGAAACCCAAGGAGGGGTCGCTATGAGTCAGATCCAACTTGACAGCAATGAGTTTGAGTTTTTAATCTATCCTTTTTCTATATATCTTCTGTATTGCCACCAAAACAACTTTTGAAAATGTCATTTTGCTTCTGCTACTCCTCTACTTAAAGTTTTCAGTGACTCTCCATCACTTCAAGGATAAAATCCAACTTCCTGAGCATGGCCTACAAGGCCTTTTATGAGCTGTCTCTTTCCTGCCCTTCTGGCTTTCTCCTCACCAACATCTCCCCCTACTATGTCCTTTCTCCACTCCTGCCTGTGTGTTTGTACATGGTCTTTGCTCTATTTTGATGGTCTTGTCTTTCCACTTCAACTAGATTACCCTTACTCATCCTTCAAGAACTAATTTGGACATCAGTGTTTCAGGAAAGTTTCCCATGACCATGCCCCCATGGCTAGATTAAATATTTTTCAAGGTTTGAGTTCACCTAGATGCACCTCTGAAGAAAGGCCTGCCCATCTGCTTCTGAAAAATCAGCCATTAAAAACTACTGTGATACACATGGGTTATCATGAGTTAGAATCTACTCGACTGCACCCGATGTTGGTGTTTACAACATACAGCAACCTGTTGTCTTGTCCCTCTCCCAACAAACCCCATACTCTGAAAACAAGTCCCTGCCTGAAGAGAATTTGTTATCTGTATGTCTAACACAGGGAGCTCTGGTAGTGTAGTACCTAAGGCATTTGACTGCTAACCAGAAGGCTGGTGGTTCAAACCCACCAGCCACTCCTCAGAAGGAAGGTTGGGCAAGGAGGGGTCACTAGTGTGATAAATACTAAATGAATTGAGTAAGCATAAAAAATACCGCCATGATATATCACATTAATCTTATGCCTAAAGCACTAGAAATTGCTTATAGCAGTCAAATGGAAGAAAGCCATTGAATGGGCAGTTTTACATCCTTTGTAAATTTCCTTTTTGCTGCATACATAATTATGACAGTGCAGTATTGATCAAGTAACATCTAGACTTTATCTTCACTTTGAATGTCTTTATGAGGATAAGTTTGAATTTATATATTTGTTTAAATAATAGTGGGAGCTCTGGTAGCATAGTGGCTAAGGCACTTGACTGCTAACCAGGAGGCTGGTGGTTCAAACCCACCAGCCACTCCTTGGAAGGAA